TACTGTTGGACTCAGCTCTTTTAACAGAGCTAATACTGCTATCTGCAGACTAGACTCTTAGCATCCTTTACCGGACCTAGTTCCAGTATGTTCAGTTCTAGTTCCAGTGATGCATATTTATGCATCAAAGATGATCTTAGAAATTCTCTCGCTAAGACATCAGGTAATGATGTGAAAGGAAAAGGAATTACAATTTATGTTCTGAAGGATAATGAGATTTCAAATTTTGGCTATATTTCTAAATAGAACGAAATCCTTACATTTTGAAAATCACATTTTGAATCTGATATTTTATAAATGCCTATTATTGTCTACCTTCCCTAGAAAAAATAGTAAGAACTCAAAGCATCGAGTCATTGCAAATTGCAAACTAAAAATCTAGGCAAGGTTTGGAAGAAAAAGCAGTAAATTTTATTATACCAGCTGCTATTATTGGTAAACAAGTCAGGTTTGGGGGCATGCAGCTTCTGCTTCAGGTCTGAAACAGCAACATTCTTTGACTCCTTTCCAGATGCATCATCTGGTCTAATAAAAGATATTGTCTCCCAGCATGCCTTGCCTTATTCATGTGTTTAGGCCTCTTCTGCTACAACAAACAGTAATAAAAGGATATTTCTGTACGAAAATGACATTTCCACAGAGTTAGTACTTTCATCAAAACATCATTCAAGAAAAGTGGGTTGATTTTGTCAAACTATCTTTTTCAGCAGGCACAGTCTTTCATATTCTGTATAACAATTCAATTTAGCAAAAATTATCAGTGTTCCAAAATAATACATAAACATTGGTAAAATGTGATGATAGCTTTCATTTGGAAGAAGCTTAAACAAGCTAGAAATGGATCTAAGGAGAATAAAAACAGATACAGCAAAGGCATTGCATAGTCTGAGATCCTATGGCAGTCACAGCCTCAGGACATAGCTAAGACATGATATTGTAAGAGTCAAGTGGCAATTTTTAATTTGTCAACAACAGAACCACCTACAGCTGAATTAAAGAGCTTTGTATCTTTGAGAACAATCAAATCACCAGCTGTGATCAGAGAATGTTAGTGCTGCAGTATATCACAGGGAAATCTTTTCCTCTCTCTTGAGCAATATCCAGTATGAGTGAATGAGTACTTTTAGCATGGGGCCTTTTCACTGAGGTATGTTGCTATGAACTGCAATGCATATGTACATAAGCATTTCCTTTCCTCTTCTGTCATTCACATGCTCACAAAGGTGAAGGGCATGCTTTTGGGCAGTTCTCGTAGTATTTAAGATTTTGTGACTAAACATCTATATATGTATTTATAGATATCTAATGGCATTTCCCAGTTTCTGATGGAGCTCTATAAAATTTAGAAAGGTCTACATTCATTTTTCCTGGGCTTCTACATAGATTTAACAGGGAATCTCTGTTAATGTCTGCTTGTTCTTCCTGGCTTTGTTTTTTTGCTCCCCCACTAGCAGCAGTCACATCTCATCTTCAGACATCAAACCCTTCCACACTGCTGCTTTCCATCTGAGCCAAAGAGACAAACCTCTTCAGTGAGGTTGAGTCTCCTGAGTGAGAGGTTGCAGTACTGGATCAAAGCTAAATATTCTGTTAAATTTTAATGGAAATGCATGTCCCCGTGGCCAAACTCCATACAGCTGCTACGCTTACTCATCCTAGTAGCTAGGGCCTGTTGTGAGAGGTACACCTCCCCAGAAGAGGCAGAAGAGACTCCCAGTTAAAATATGATATAAATGTCTTTTTGCTATTATATTCTCAATTCTCCATTCAATATAAGATGGAAGGAGAGCCAGAGCTGATAGCAACCCTGTTACTCTCCCAAACAGAAAGCCAGAGATTGTGTGGAAATATTAAATGCAATGAAGCTTCGGCTGCTGATAGGATGGCCCTTGTAGCCAAGCCTGTGCTCTCACTGAAGTTTGTATTCATAGGCATTTTCCTATAGGTTTTTCCCCATACTGACCAGCACCAGTTATGGTACCTTAGGTATACCAGAAACATTATCAGAGGCAAAATTGACAGATCAGTTACTCTAGTTCAGTCACCTCCTTCTGCTCATTCCAAACAGTATCAAATAATTCCAAAAATAACCTTATTTTTAACCTTATATAAATTGTTCATCATTTGTCAATATAGATAGTATATGGAAATTGTAAGATATTTTTTTCATATAAAAACATAAGTCTACATCTTCCTGATGAACAATAGGACAATACTGACAGCATGAGGCTAGACCTGGAAAAGAAAATAAGTTTGGGAGAGAGCTTATTGGTTCTGTTGAAAAACACTTCCAAACAATGTACTATTTAGGACAGAGTTTTCTCTCATGCTAGTCAGCAGAAAATTAGGACTAGGTGTTTTTCTTCAAATCATAGATATTAAAACCACATCTGCACCCCAAAGCATTTCATAGTAAAATTGTACCTTCTAGAATTGTGCTTGGCTGCTTTGAAATCGGCATATCGGGGGGGAAAAAGTATTTCTTGTCTGATTAAAGAAATTTCTGTCTTTCTTACACTGTGGCACCCAAAACTACACATAGTGCTTGAGGTGAGGCCACACCAGAGCAGAGCAGGACTTTCCCCTCCCTTGACTGGCTGCAGTGCTGTGCCTGATGCACCCCAGGGTACAGTTGGCCTCTTTTGCTGCTGACTCATATTCAGCTTGCCATTGACCAAAAGTCTTGGATCCCTTTCTTCAGGGCTGCTCTCCAGCCTGTCATCCCCCTGTCTGTATGCATAGCTTGGGTTGCCCCTTCCCAGGTACAGAATCCAACACATGCTCTTGGTGAACTTCATATGCTTGGTGATTGCCCAGCCCTCTGATTTGTCCAGATCTCTCTGCAAGGTCTCTCTGCCCCTGCTGGAATCAACCGCTTATCCCAGTTGAGTGTTGTATGCAAATTTACTTAGTATAGCTTCAAGTCTTTCATTCAAGTAATCTATGAAAACACTGAAGAGAACTGGCCCTCAAAGGGAGCCTTGGGGAGCCCCACCAATGACTGTCCGCCAGCCTGATGTAACCCCATTTACTATAACCCTTTGAACCTGACCCATCAGCCAATTGTTCACCCATTGTATTGTGTATTTGTCTAGCTGTATGCTGGACATTTCATCCAGAATGATACTGTGAGAAACAGTATTGAAAGCTTGCTGAAATGCAAAAGGCTACAACTGGCTTCCCTTGGTCAACTAGATGGACGGCATAAAAGGAAATTTAGGTAGTTAAGCAGTACCTTCCTCTCATGAACCTGTGTTGTCTGAGACCAATGACCACCTTTCTTTCAGAGGTTTTCAATAACTCCCAGAACAATCCTTTTTTTTTTTTTTTTTTTTAACTTCTTTTTCCCTGTCTCAAGTGTATGTAAAAGCAAATTAGACTTTACACAAAGTGTGAAATTTCATGAATTTTAGCAGATAATTCAGCATGCTACGATGTCAGAACTACCTACTTAGGTCATCCTGATCTTAACTAACATGCTCCACTGCTGACCAGTACCTGGGCTTTCCAACTGTACCATTATTATATGCTGTACTTATAATGTAAACAATTTGATGAAGGAAGCAGACTTTAAAAACTAACTTAGGTAAATTTGAATGCAGATCTCTTAAAATAAGACTACAAATTTAATTAGACCACACTTTCACCTTCCCTCCAGCAAGGGCATATCTTTGAAGATCATTACTTACCATAAAAGCACTGCCACACAAGCTATTTTTTAAATGCAATTAACCAATATAAAATATTTGTCATTGGAGAAATAACACTTGCACTTCTTTGAGTACAGTTATTGAAAGGTACAGGCTAACTTTTTCTTCTATAGAGACGATCATGAAAGCAAACTTCTACGTGATACATGGTGTGTTTTAAAACACATTTCTTCAGTTATCAAAATTTACATTAATGACATTGTGATTAGATTGTAAGGTTTTTATTCTATAAATATTCTACTTTCCATTTAAAGCAGGAAAAAAAAATCTTCTTGTTAGTCTCCTACATACAAGGGGACATTTAGATGAATGTTCAACAGCAAATACAGCAGAATTTTGTTTTCTAACTTGCTTTAAGCATGGTTATAAACCCCAGAGCTTACATGTATGTTACTGATTCTAGGAGCCCTTTAAAAGACCTGAAAGACCGTTTGTGATGAAAAAGTGGGGGAAAACCTATCATAACACATCTTTTAATATGCCAGTCACCATCCTAGCTTTCACTGTCTCTTCAGCTAGCTGAGGAACTCTCAGCCAGCCCAAACTTGCAGAGGTATTAAAAATAAAAATTAAATTAAAAAAAAAAAAAGTCAAGCAAGGTAAATACCTGCATTACCCCTTTCTACTTTCCACGTTGGCCTGCAGGACTGCCCAGTGTAGAAGGAGCAAGGAAGAACAAACAAATGAGCAGTTCACAAGCTGTCTCATCAGTGTCTCAATGTCCTCCTGTGCATAAATTGTGCCTCTCTACTTGAATGGTGCAATTAAAATCAGGTATCTTTATTTCAGTGGTGATGTCTGGTATCTCTAATGTAATAGGCAGCTTCATCTGATATGGCTTGTGCCTGGTGTAACATTTGGTATTTCAGAGATGTATATGACTAACAATTTTATAATCTTTCTCATTTTCTCAAGCATCCTTCCCTTTCCTCTGTTGGGTATGGTGAGGCCCTGCATCTTTAGTGTATTGATCGTATGCTTGCACAGCAAACAAAGGCATAAGTCCCTGTTGGCATGTACCTCATTCAGCCTAATCTAGCAAGCATGGATGGCAGTGGCAGGAAAGATAAGGCATGGTTTCTGGCACTCATGCTGACAGCTTCCTAGATACCCCAAGTACACCTTGATTGTTTCTGCCTTGATAGTATTCTTGAGTCTGCTACACATGCTGCTAGATTTACTCCTTTTTCCTAAACAATTAGGAAAAGAAGAAAGCACAACCCACTGCTTATTTTCAATTAACATGCTTTCATATCTTCCAGTCTCTCCAATACTTCTGTGTCCCAACAGCTAAAGAATCTGAGTACCTGAATACATCTCTAAACTTCTAATAACATGGCAGTACGTTTTCCTGGAGAGCTAATTTGTGAGGTCAGGGGAGCAACAACTCCTAAAGAAGCAATTCACAAGAATAACATTAAAGCAGCTTTGACTGCTGTGAACATTCCATTGGAACAGGTAAGATTTCCACTAATTCTGCATTTTACTACCCATTTTTACTCATCACCTATCTTAGAGGTTATCTTAGAGCCTAAGCTCCACACAGATTCACGTTCAGTACTCTCAGTGCCCATGATGAGCATTTTGAGGTCCGAAGGGCTGCTGAGACTGGCCCTATGCACTGGGTGTTAAGGACTCCATGTGGTCTTGATACCTTGCTGGCGTGTACACAATTTGCATTTTACTTGTATGGGTCTCTTGGTAACGGAGAGAAACAAGGTCATTTAGACTGGCAGCTCAAAAATATTGAGCTTAGGGAATGTTTCCTTTTTTAGACAAAATGTCCCCAAACTTGCCTTGCTTGAAATAAAGCCAGGGCTCTCTCCTTTCTGAAAGAGTTTCAGACCATATAATTGAGCGTTAACTTGGTATTTAGATATAAAATTGGATTTTGTAATGGATTTCAAATGACAAATCACTATTAGGCATTTGATCCTACATTTAAAGGGACAGGTGAAGCACCACTAGCTTTCTTATTTATGTGATGTACTCCAGTCAAAACTTTCAAGGTGGAAAATTATGTAATCTGCTTTAAAAATAAAAGAATAATAATAATAAAAAAAAATCCATTAACATTAATGTGAACAGTAGGTGGCCAACTGGTCTTCCTAGACACCTTTGAAAAAATCCAATTTTGATTTCAGCATTTGGAACTTACTTAGTGGAAAACTGTCTCGCATATCTCGCCAAACCTGAATCAGAATGCCTTCACCAGTTCTGCAAGAGACACTTAGAAACTGTAATTCTCTAACCTGTTTGCTTTATCTAATTGCATAGCTCTATGTTTCTTCCAGGAGATGCTAACTAGGGAATGATCCCTCAAGGGAAACCATGTAATGCTGAAGCATCTGAATAAGGAGCATCATTTCTAATACTCCGTGTAATCAGGACACCATCCTCCTGAACGGGTAAGTACTTCCATGCTCTTGGGCATTTCTCTTTTGCTTTAGGAATATTGTCCAAGTACAATTGTCAGGACAGCTTCCAAGGCATCTCTAGAGGTATAATACAGAATGTACAACAAATACAGACGTGACCTTTGCATTGGTAAAACATCTTTAGTTATAAGTTTATGATTGCTATTGTTTCAAATGACAGTGACTGTCAGTACTACATAATAGCTCTTTATTATTATGTCTTGTGATTCTAGATGTCCTCCTCCACATGATATTTTCTTACTATGGTAATTCTAAGTATTTTAAGCTTTTGCTTACAACCCTCAGATGGGTCACACTGAGGCTACATTTTTCTCCCCTCTGGTACTATTCTTGCAGTCTACTGTTCCAGCCATGTACTTTGCTTAAAACATTTCTTACCTGTCAGCACCTGGAGAGGAATTCACAAGCTTCTGACATCCAGTAAAAACACAATCAACCTCAATGATGTTTCTTTGAAACTACCACCTTACTATATTTATTTTCCCATCACAATTCCTGTATGAGTGCATTTATGCATGCAGCTACTGAGGTCAGAGAAGGGGAAATAGAATTAAGTAGGTTCAGTTCCAAATTTCTTATCTAAAGCCAGTTAATTCATATGGTGGCAAAATAAAGGAAGCTAAAGCAGAGTATTAAAACTGCAACTGCTGCTTAACATCAATAGGAACAGCAGGATATTTGTGGAAACCTTATTTAAAATGTGATTTCACTAACTCACTCAGTGGAGACTGCCATTCCTTACCACAGATGGTGGTGTTGGATGGACCTAGCTGCAGGACAGTCTTTCCTAGGGAGAGGCATTCAGCAACCCTATCTAAAAGCCTCTGGTTGCTTTCATCAAATAGTTAAGGTTTTGTTAATGCCCAAATGATTCCTTAATCTGAGGTGAACTGAGGATATTTTCTAGCAAAAAAATAGATATGAAAATTCTCCTTTGATTTTCCTATCATGAATTTCATTTGACACTTCAAATAGTCTAGTACACATGAGAGAGCTCAAATCACAAGTAGAAATATTAGCTGCCTGTCACTAATTGCTGATATTTGCAAATGTTTCCAGGGTACTTACATCTCTCACCTCCAGGTCCAGAGCTCAAGTTAAAAATATAAGAAGCACTAAGAATTGAATAAAAGCTCCTTCGCTGACACCTCTTACAAGTGAGATTATGAATCTTGCTACATTTTTTTTAAGAAACTGCCATCGTCTATGTCTTGACAGACATTATTTGCCACACAATAATGCTCACATAGAAAAGTGTGCCCTTCTGAGCAAAAAAAGCTTATGTGCTGTTTTATGTGATGACTTCTTCTAAGCCTGGAAGTAAAATTAAACAGCTGCTAGCAACAGTTCAGAATGATTAACCTATGTCAGGACTGTGAATTGTGGCTCCGAGCAGAAGGTTAGATGTGGTACTTAGGGACATGGGTTAGTGGGTAATATTGGTGGTAGGGGGATGATTGGACTACATGATCTTGCAGGTCTTTTCCAACCTTAATGATTCTATGACTCTCTGAGTACTGCGGCCACTAATGCAATCTGAGTGATGTTCTTTGTCTAATGCTGCCACTCTGAAGTCAGTGCCAAAAGTCGTATGAACAATACAGTAGAAAGTTAATACTTGTGCTCTGTGAAATATCACTGTCTAAAGCATAAAAGAAAAGTACAATACTTCTTTAGCCTGTTGATCCCAGCAGAAACTAAAAGTAAAGTTCCCAGGTTAGCCACTGGAAAAGGGGAGACTGACTCACTCGTTTGATTTTAGAGGAGGCTGAATAGGATTCATCATTATTATGTTATGGGACTAGACATCTTGACAGCTGGCATTTGACATCACCCACCAGAAACACACTGAACAGTCTTTTTAGAAAGTGTTAATAAACTTCTCCAGACAGTAACCAAGAGGAGCAGGTGCTTAACATTACTTATCTTATCAGAGAGCATTTGCAATTGCCAAGTCTTGCTTTTATGACTGATGAAGAGGAAAGCAAACAGGAGAATGGAGGAAAGTCACTAGAAAATTAAGATCATATAAAACCAAAACAATTTTTAAAGAACTAAAATGCTTCTAAACTCCAACCATCACTGGATAGTGGAAGCCAGATACGTTATATATAATATAATTTATGTTCAGTTGAATCTGTTCTGTGCTGCCACATGAAGCAAACATGTGTTAGCATAAACAGCTTTGCTATCTTCTCTCCCTTCACTCACCCTTCTAAGGATGTAATTGCAGTTACAAGATCTTTTGGAGTCACAAGACTATTGTATTTTCCTACCCACTATAAAGGGTACACACAATTACAGATAAGATGTACCATGTTAAACATCTGAGGATAGGATCAATCTTAAATTATTTGGCTTTCAAAAACAGAACCTCATTGTTCTACCTCGGTTATCAATCTTCAAATTGATCTCATATGAGAATTTTAAGCCATCCCATCAACACCTGAGAACAGTCTGGAATCTCGAGCATATTTCTATGTTCTTGTTATGATTCTTTTTCTTTACACGAATAGCTAATTTATGTTATCAACTTAGGTTTTAACTTATCTCGTACTCACCTTTATTTTAACAGTTCTTATCAGAGCAAAACAGAAATGATCTTCACGTTGGCAGTCTCTTTAGTATGGTGACAACACTTCTATTTTCCTACTATAAATGAATTTTAGTAAGTTGCACTCTGAATTCTTCAAATAATTTCTAACAGCTACATTGAATCTGAATTTGTGGAAGTAATCAAATATGTCCTGCAAGAGAGAGGTAAATGGATACTCTACAGTCACTTGTCACACTGACTACAACTCTTTGTTGCTCTTTCTAAAATCAACACGGAAAAGTTTTTCAAAAGAACATAGTGATCTTGGGTCTCCAACTTAAAAGACTAAATTGGTTTTCAGAGCACAGCTGCTCAGTATTTCCTAGAAAGAAATTATTTTCTGATTTGCAGCCATGGATAGCTGAGACTGCTGGAAAGCAATGTCACACCTCACTTGTGACCTTCTCTTGAAGTTTCCTTCCACATGGACCTTGAGATATCTAAGAAGTTATATGTGGTTGATGGCCATGTAAAAACTGTGCTGTCATAAATCACAAGATCAAGAAATGTGGCCAGCCTGCAGTGTGGAAATTAATAAATATTCAGGCATTTTCATTGGTATTGTAGAAGCATAGTTTAGAAAGTGGCAAGTGAACATATGATTGTTAATAACAAGAGAGAGGAATGTCAACCAGCATCACTTTGATAAAAATGCACACCATAATTTCTAGGAATCTGTAGTATTAGTAGCACAGTGTTGGAACTCCGTAACACAAGTGGCTTGGCTGTTGTGGGTGAGGATGATGTGGTTGTATCATGGGCACACGAGGGAGGTCAGAAGACATATTTAAAATGTTTATGGATGAACTTGGAAGGACTTTAAGACTGCTTAAACAAGGTTGACTTTACAGCTTTATTCATTCATAGAAGCGTGGTGGATTAAGAGGATGCTACAGCTGTGCCACTGCTGTATGGTACTGGCTACCCTGCAAAGGGCAAGAAAATTAAAGAGTTTGTGTGCATGTCTCTGTGAAGGACTAAGAGGAGCCACTGTCTGGTTGTGAGAAAGCAGGGCTTTCTGGGATCGTGAGACTACCCCTCTCCTCTAGGCTGTCTACAGGAGACAAAGACTGGTGAGTGCTGAAAGGTACTTTACTCATTGAAGAAAGAGCAAGAGAAAGCACATTAAGATCTACTGCGTCGTTTTCCTAACAGACTGGAAAAGTCTACCAAGTTTAGCAAAGAGCATTGTACCAAAACAACCTGACAAATACCTGCAGCTCCCAGGGTATGTTTATGGGTTCTGCTCAGACAAGCTGCCTTGCCTGGGATTTGAGGACACTTCTTGAATGGGATTTCAAGGGTTATTGGTGGAAGGAGATACAAGTTGTCTTCATCCTGAACTCCTCACATGTTAGAAGGATACACAGAAATCCATGCGGGCATTGGCTGTTTCCTAGCACTAGAAATGTGTGTCCGGATTGCCCTGCACTGCTGCCACATACCTATGCACAAGAATTAGTGCTTTCCAGAAGCACCAGGCAAAATTACTGTGCATGTGTAAGCCAGTCAGACAGCTGTCAAACAGATGGGCCGTATTCCAAACGTCTACGCAGGCACAGACCCACACATTTCTTTTTACAAAACTTGGTTAAAATACTCTTACCCTCAAATAAGATACTGGTGCCACTTTAGAAAAATTAGTCACGTTTCTGTACTGGACATTCTTTTTATACCACTAGCTTGTTCCCAAGTTGGGCTGACAAAGCAGCAGGGGGAAGAGAGATGTCCTTTACTGCTGCTTTACCAGCCACTGCTAGAAGATAGGAGTGTGTGACCATGAGGAAATTATAAACAGACTTTTAAAATTTGATTTTCTCAGCACACATAAGAAAAGCAGTGCTGTCTTCCAGTGTGCTTTCAACACTAACATTTACTGGGAAGTGTATGTGTCTGTGTGCACACATACAGTTTTTGGTTTGGTTTCTCTTCTTTTGACACATGAAATGTCTTTTGGATAAATTTATATACATATAAATGAAACACTGTGCTAATAGGAGCATGCAACCATCATCATCAGTAGAACCCAAGTCAAAACAGGAATAAATAATGTCTACTTGTTTTCCTAGAGAAAAACATTTTTTTTATCTGCTTAATTGATTTCTTCCTTCTCCCTACAGTTCTGCCAGCTAAGACTGACTTTAGAAATGCTTTTGCAAGGGGTCTCCTATTTGTCAGGCACCCTTGGCCAATTGAAAAGCAGTTAAGCTATTTATAAAATGTTTTGTTAGTGGGCTACAAATATCAAATTTGGAGTTAGAGTTAGGTGATAAAATAAATTGCAACTGAAAATTCATTATGGAGGACTTTTATGTATTTTCAAAGATACAGCTTTGAAAACTTCAGAAGAGGACAAAAAAATCTGGAGTACATTTTTCCAAAATGATAGTGTATTACCGTCTCCCCAGGAAATTAATCAGAATGCAATCAAAATACTTTTCCAGCTGCTGAAGTCTCTTCCTCCCTTGTGGATCTGTCTCACATAAATCAAATCTCAAATTCAAAGTCATGTTAACTGGACAGCTGTTCTCTTAAGCTACATGAAGTGGCAAGTATCTGCTGTTATCTTTGTAGCGCTTTCAATAGCCCTACTTTATGGGACTTCCTTACAGAGATCACACCAGAGAGGAAAAAAAATACAAACCCATAGCTAGTATTTTCTACGAATCAAACAGAAACTTTGTAAGTGCCAGTGGAAGTGGAATGTGGTTCTCGCTTATTCAGAATTGTGACTTTTGCTGTGGCATTTCCACCCTACAAACTGGGATCAATGGAGCTTACCAATCTTTCCTCTCATGCCTTACTCATAAGGCTTTCCTCAGAGCAAAGCACCCATGCCCTGGTTATTTACTTACATCTATACATATGTCTCTACCATTCTATACATATGTCTCTACCATTCTTCATCTTGCAAGAGCCCAGCATGGTTCGACAACTCCAAGACACTGTAGAGTTGGATTATCTTAACCTCTACACTAAGGCTGCCCACCCTGGAGAGTGAAATGAGGCAATTTTCAATAGCATAGAGCAATACCACACAACAATTTGGGTAGGAAATGAAGAACAATTACAGCTGCAGGGGAAATATAGGGCAGGCAAAATGTAATTACGCAGGCTGGAATATGGCCAGAACACTGGGGCTTAACGGTCCTTCTTATTCTTGTGAAAGGAACAACAAGGATACTTGTACCACAACAGCCAGAGTCTAGTTTTGCTTTATCTGAGCCACAGCACATCCCATGGCATAGTTCCAGCACTGTAGTAGCCATGGGCTGATGCTGCTCCAAAGGAACTAGTTGCCTTTTGATGTTCATTACATTAGGTATAAGGACTGAGGAAAGAGCCAAATTGATTTAGAAGTGACAGCACAATCTTCTAGGTAATCTAAAGGGACATGCTTTCAAACTGCAAAGCAAAGCACCACTGAAACAAGTGGCTGTTGGGAATCCAGATTCTTCAGGTGACTTTCTTTTTCTGTATTGATGTCTAACTTCTTGAGGTATAAAATCTGAAGGCAGACCAGTCAGGTAATACTGATGTATTGGACAAACACTACCTTTGTCTTTAAGGAACACTATGAATAAATGAGGGCTCGGCTATGTAGAAGTATATGAAATGTAAGAAGTTCTCCTCACAGGGAAGAAAACATTGACAGGGGAAAACTAAAATGATGCTACTTTGCTATTGGACCTTTCTAAGCCTGTTCAAAGGTGTGTGAAGGATGGACCTTGTGCTTATACAGTCATCTTTACAGATCTTGATTCCCCTCTGTATTAATAAGAAAGCAAACTGCTTTCAAACCAAGCAGTATGCACACAAAGCTTAAGATTCTGCTCAACAACTCACACTGCTTCAACACAGCAAGATGTCAGTTGCACAAACAGGAGAAACATGCTAATGAGATTCAATTAAGCAGTATAAAAGAACTCATTCAATTGACCTAGTGCATTTCTAAGCCCATTTCCCACAAAAAAAAAAAAAAAAAAAAAAAAAAAAAAGAATCCAGAAACCCTCAAGAGTGCAGTGATCAATGAATTGAGTACAAAATCCTCTGGATATCTCAAATCCTCAAAATCCAATCAATTCTGAAAGACATTTGGTAAAGGAGACACAATATTCGGAATAGACTAGAACATTATGCACATGCCAAAGTCCTTGCACAAGTGACCAGCAATCAGCAATCCACATATTTCAAGCAATGTGTTTTGCATGCCTCTACTGAGAAGTAAGGTGTAAGGTCTCACTTGTTCCTTTGTGCTCTTCACTGATAACTTAAGTAGCAGTTTAGATGTGAAAAAGCCCTAAGGAGCTGCTTTTTTCTTCCCATAGAGTAGGGGAGTGAGTTCCCACTGTACTGCACCCATACCGTCTGTGAACTACCATCTTGTCCTGGGATTTGTGCTGTTGCAGCAAAGTGGCACAGGAGCCTTATGAAATATCACCATGTGTTAGGTTGTGTAAGATAATGTGCTTCTGTGTGAAGAGAGGTTTTCTTAGACAGCAAGGTACTGTTCTTTCCAGAAAAGCACCCAGTACATTGCTCTGGAATGGGGGGAAAAAAAAAATCATGGCTCCTCTCAGATGAATTTGACATGGTTTGCAGTATGAAAACGATGTTAATTGCAATTTTAAAATGATCTCTCTTTAGCTGTTATCAATGAACTCTAAAGATTGGTCTTAATGGTAGGATCCCTGATGGTTTGAAGCACAGTGTGTTGAAGAAAGAGATTTTAAAACTTTTTTGGATGACAGGAGATGTTGGCACTGTCACCATCTTCACTTCTATTGTCCCTGATGAAACTGGCTTTTGGTACTTCCTCAGCCATACAAGGCTTCTATAGTCTCTTTTCTCCTTTATTTGAATGCTGTGATGAGAGACTCAAATCTTTTTGTCCTTGCTATACTTAGTATCTGTCCTTGTATTCAATAGTTTTCTTTCTCTTCCAGATGTTATCAAAGTCCAACAACTGGTCTTGAGAGCCAAGACAGATGTAAGCTATTTTTTAAAACACAGTTCAAGCCAACTTTCTTTCTTTGTGATGTAAAAATATAATGAAACATTATGAATGCCTTTTAATGCTATAGAAATACAAAAATAAGTGCTATAATAATCATTAGATTATTTATCATCATCTGTCAAGGCCAAATCCTAGCTCTAATAGCAATCACTATGGCTAGGCTCCAATGTAATTATTATCAGGGACCTGCTCCAAAGACCATCATCAAAGTCAATGAGAAAGTTTTTTCCCACTGAGTTCAGGGTACTTTGGATGAGGCCCTAAACTGTCTAATCCTGCAGAAGCTGTCTGCTCCTTCAAAGCCAACACTCACAGCACTGAGGTTGCTGGTGGTAGAGATACTTCAAGGCAGCAATCTCCATAGTACTACCTAGGGAAGTTTGACTAACCAGATTTAAACAGCAGTTCAGTCCTTTCCTTCACTACATCAGGTTGCTGTATGCCTTACTGTCACCTTAACAGTTGTGGTGATGCTAATCAGTTTTGTGGTTTGCACGAGAGGATCTTTCAAACAGACTATTGATTTGCAGGCCAGAAATGCATTGCAGCTTGGACAGCAGCTTACTGAATAGTGGCAGCAAGACGTCCCGTTTTCACAGCTTCTCCACTTCATTCTTGAATAAGGCATAAGGAGCACAAGTTAAATTGTAACATCTCAGTATTTCCAAATCAAAACCAAGTTTGTTGAAATGCTATAAAGTTTTCTCTGCACTTTGACCCCACAAAAAGGTGGATAGGGGTAGTTTCAGTAGTCACACATATTCCTGCTTGTTTTAATCAACAGATGATTAATAGCAAATTATGATCATAATAGTATGTTTTATCCCAAAGACTCCAAGACCTCTCAATAAAACATTGGCTGAGTGCTGTGCAAAATTACACTCAAGCAATTGAATTCAAATGAGGGTGGCCCTCCTTTAACCTCTGCAATGTGACCACTTTCAAGAAGGAGCGCAGCACCTGCTCATCAGAACGCGTTGTTCCATGCAATGAGAAACAGCAAGAAGATTCTCTGAAAAAGTCAACTGGAACACTGGTGAGTACTTGAAAATTACTACTTAGATGAGTGGGTGAGGAAAATACGAGTTAGACTTAGGTTAGCTAGTACAGATAGGACGCTATGGGATCTTGCATTAAAAATTCTAGCCAGAACCTGAATTCAGCTGATCCAGTACCAACATTTCACACACCTTTCTGCTCGGTAAGTAAGGTTACACTGCGCAACACCTGTGTAATTACATTTTTTATCCTAGTCCTGGCTAGACATAACCTTTTTCAAGCTTTTGAGAACTGGTGACTTATAGCCAAAAATGTAATAACCGGAAGCCTTCTCTCTATTTGCTATAAGTTAGTTGCTATCTGATATCTAGCTGTCAAAAGCTCTAATATAAAAAATAACAAGGAAAGGAAAGGAAAATGCTGACCACAGGGATGTATTTTTGGGGGAGGGAAAAAAAAAAGTATAAATGTTACATTTTTGAAAGATTACACTCTGGAATTGTTTAAGCAGTTGACAAATAGAATGATCAGAGCAACGATCTGTTCTTTGTGTCTTCTAGAACAGCATTAAAAATATAACGCTGTAGCTTGTAAGGTTTAGCAGTATTAAAACTGGTGCGAGCACAGTGACAGCAATAGCTCTTAAACCTGCCAAAACAAGTACTGACTTGCTTTGTACTTACCAATGTAACTGTCTTCTTCCTTCAGGACTGCAGATAGCAGCTTCCAGTTTAAACTCATTTTCATTTTCCTCAATAGAACAATCATATGTTCAAGGTTTCAGCCTTCAACCCCCTGTCCCCCTAATACTGGCTTTATTAGATTGCTAAGACACTGCCTCACAACATTTCTTGCCAAATGCACACTTAGACCCTCCAGATCATCCAGGTTATGCCAAATTCCAGGAAGTGGCAGTTCAGTCCCACTGGAATACTTATCCCGCATGTAAGACTCTGGCCTGTTTTCTGAATTGATTAGGCACCTAGATTTACTCCCTTCCTCCTCCCAGAAATGCCTATGTTAGAACATGTATGCACCCAATGCATACTTCAGGGGTGTCAGTGGTCAGTCACACCCCTGTGGGGACAGGTCTGTGCATCCAGGAACCAGGCATTCAATGGATTCCTCTAGCTATTTGCTTCTGAATCGCCAGCTTGCCAACAAAGCAGGTGAAGCCTAGCACATTTATAAATAATCTGTAGGAAACTCAGGGAAAACCTCACAGTTTTCCTCCCCCACAAGATCTTTAAACAGAAGTTCCCTTTTCTTAGATGTTTATAAGGCATTCTGCAGGATACAACAGAATTACAAATCAGATAGTAAGTTCAGTGGAGAGATGGACATTTTTATGTGTAGGTACCAAGGGTAGGATAGCTACCAAGTGTCAATAGTACCACAAGCTTGTGCAGTCTGAACTGAAATTCATGGTGTATACTGGCTGGTTAGACTAGACTTGATACTTCAATGTTAACTTGGACAAGTCTGTGTGCCTTGTGAGTCAGAATAACTGCACCTCCCAAATCTCTGGGTTATGATGACAGAGCAATAGCAGATCTTTTTCAAGTCAATGAACTGTGTAG